AAACGTGTACTTCGATCAGGAAGCCCGTGAAAATCAATTATTCACAATTCTGAATGATTACGTTAGTCGGCCTCTGCATGTCATCGTTTAGCTCTCGATACCTGAAAGCGCATAAAATTATCATTATAGAACTGCACGTCGTATATATTTGTTGTAATAAATTATAAAGAATATTGATATCAAACGAAACGAAAATTTGTTACAAAATTTGTAGATGGCAATTGAATTATTGAATATATTTTATTTTTTATACGTATTTTATTTTATGTGTTCTATTTAAACATTTTCATTTTTTTACTATTGACAAACATTTGCATTTTTTTATTATTAATCTATGAAACTCTCATGTGAATAAATGATACCTTCGAATGGCCAGAATATAATACAGGACCATCCACGACATCTTCAACCCCTTCAACCCCTTCTTCATCATTCTTATTCGAATTCAACGAGGCGAACTCTTCGTGCTCCATAATTCCCCACAGAGGAACATTTTCTTTGCCCGTGGATGCAACCGCGAGACTATTCACTGCTTGCGGAAGTACTTGATAAGCCTTCTCAATCGCCTCAAATCCAGTTAGATTGTATCTGTCGTTATCGTTACCACTGACACTCGTTTCGTTTTGTAATTTCTTTATCTTATTTTCCTCTCTTTGATTCTTCGAATCGTTTCTTGCCTCCAGAACTGTTTGCGGTGTCACTACATATACTCGTTCTTCATTTATATATGACACAGGCAATACCGTTTGCCAATTCTGTTTTAACTCCGTTTTCGACTTATTTAAATTCTCCAAGCTGGCTTTAGGATTCTCCACTCGCTCGATTTTTGACGGCTGAAATCAATTCATGAAAGTTTATAATTTCGTTCGATTCCTGTTTAGAAATCTCGCACGAAAAAAAAAACGAATTACCCGTCGCGTTTGCTCGACTCGATCGCTCGCCGAGGCCTCGTGCTCCACTTCGTTGAAGCTAAACCCGGCCAGCAACGAATAAGTTTTCACACTCTGATCCCGCGATCTAGGCGGTTCGCTCGGATCGCGATCGACCGGTTCCGTGGTCGTTAAATACTCCGTCGGGATTTTTTTCGACGGCGACAGATAAGGATGCATTGAACTCGGTGAAACTGTGCTAAACGTCGTGGGTCTCGAGTATTCCTAACAGAAATTAAAAACCAATCTATATTACTTCCGTAGATGAAGACACCTTGCAACCAGTAAACTTTTTATTTTATTATAAAAAATGAATATGAAACATAAAATGCAATAAGTATGTTTCTCTAAATTGATATTTGCAAAATTTACCTGTATTGTCCAATTATCGATGTTTTTTTGCAACCTACGCACGTCAATAGAATTGTTCGCTTTTGTAGTTGTCGTTGTTGCTGTTGCAGAACTTCTTGAATCCTCAGATTTAAATGATTTGTTATTATCGTTCTCATTAAATCGCGATTGATTAACTACTCTAACATCGTTTCTAGATTCTTGTTGTAAATAGTTGTCAGTGTGCAAGGAAGGAGGAAGTCTTCTTAGCTGATTTCGTTCTAAATTGGTTTTTACACTCCAATCGTTGTAAGATTGTTGGAACGGGATAGGCGTGTAGTCCGACGTGTACGGGATAATAACTTGGACCTAAAATAATATTTATTTCAGAAAATTACTATTTACACTAAAATTAAAATAATAATATTTAGAAATGAATTAAATCATAAATAAGATTTTTAGTAAAGTTGTTGCTATCTGAACTTTCACATCAATCTAATGAAAATCGAAGGTTTACGAACACGATTTCACTTACCTGCTTGTTTCGTTTCACGTTCTGCTGCTTTTGTGTTACATCCTTCAAATCCTTCGAATTATTCTTCCTCCCTGAAGTTTCTAATTCCGTGTAATTTCGTAAATGCGACAAGAAACTTGTCCACAAAAATCCTGGTTGTCCCGAAGGTGGAATATATGGAACGTCATGTTGATTTGCATACTTATTTAAAACTTTTTCTGTCGAATCCTCGGTCTCATTGTTGTCCTGCGTAGTAGTGGAAGTGGTGGTACCAAAAACGTTATTAATGTCTCGAATGTCAGACTGTGTGTAAGACTCAGTTGTTCTAAGGAAATTGGAGTCTTCATAGAATATGTTATCATTTGCGATGTTATAATCTGTAGTAGTTCTTATAGTCTCATCGGTCGCTTCATTTATATTGGTTGTAGTTGACCATTTCTCATTCTCATTTGTGTTCTCACCATTTTTCGTAAGGTCGAATAATGGAGATTGTTCAAAATATATTGAATCATCGTTCGTTTTAGGAATTTCAGTAGTCACATGAGAATTCTTAACTATACTTCCACTGGGAGATTGATCGTCCGAATATTTGTGATTCAATTTTTCATTATCCTGATTGTGATAAATAGATATTCCGAAACTCGCTGGATTTGGCGATAAATAACTAAAATCGGTGGTACTTGATTTAACACTGTTTTGATTATCAGAATCGTGATTAGGTGATCCAAAACTGGTAAAATATTGATTATTTCCATGTTGTACGATGGAAGGATCGTTATTCTCATTGTATTCTGGATTTGGATACGAATCTTTGTGATTTACGAATTCATGATTTTGACTTATGGCTCCTTGATTAATTTCCGTACCAATTTGCTTCTGATCACCATCGATCTGAAGGTTTGAAATTGATTTCTGATCAGAAGACGTGATGGGTAAAGATGGAGACTCGGAATGTTCATTGCCATTATTTATTGAAGGATTTTGGGACAGTAATTCTTCGCCGAGGAGGAACGACGATTGAGTCCCGAAGTTTCCTTCATTATATGCATTTTGTGATTTTGATGGATCTTCGAAGTGGCCATTGTTTATATTTAAAGGATTTTGGAATGGCCTTTCCTCTTCGAAATGTCCATTATTATTATTTGTACCTTGCGACGGTAGATTTTCAAAATGTCCATCGATTAAAGATTGACTATTTACATTCAAAGAACCTTGTGACAGTGGATCGTCGAAGTATCCATTATTCACAGGACTTTGATTATTACTTGGATCATTATTTACATTTAAAGGATTATGGAAATGTGAATCTCCAAAATGTTCCTTATTTGCGTTCAAAGGATCATGCGGTGTTGGACCATCAAACTGTTCAATGTTCGAACTTTGGGACTTTGTGTCAAAAATTTCTGGTTTATAAATAGGAGATACCGCACCAGAATGGAAGGCTGGATCGTCCAAAGGATGATTTAGCTGATCAGTAGAACCTTGCGATAAATTCGTAACCCTAATTTCATGCGAAGCAGCGTGCTGAATATCGTGACCAGTTGGAGGAAGGTAACTGTTCGAGAAATCCGGATGAGACCCGCTATTTTGCATAGGAATCCAAGGAGCCTTGTTGCAAGGGTTGCAAGGTCTAGCCTTGTTCGTATACAAGCCGCGACTCTTCTGAGGCGGGAAAACATTCCTATGATCATGAATCGGTGGAGCATTGTAAACAGTTGGACCCGGAGCTAGATTAAATGACGGAACAGGAGGAAGGATAAGAGGAGGACCAGGAGGGAAACTAGGGGGAGGACCATGAGAACTGGGAGTTCCGAAGATTGATTTCTGGGGTGGTGGACCTGAGTGAGGACTTAAAGGTGGACCAGGAGGAAGATTGAGGGGAGGACCATGGGAATTGGGAGCTCCGAAGACTGATTTCTGGGGTGGTGGACCTGGGTGAGGACTTAAAGGTGGACCAGGAGGAAGATTGAGGGGAGGCCCATGGGAATTGGGAGCTCCGAAGACTGATTTCTGGGGAGGTGGACCTGGGTGAGGGTTTAAAGGTGGACCAGGAGGTAGAGTCAAATGTCCGTAAGTGCCAGATCCGGGGAAAATTGATTTCGACGGAGATGGACTTGGAGGAGAATTGAAAGGTGGACCAGGAGGAACATTTAACGGTGGACCATAAGAACCAAAACCAGAGAAGATTGATTTCGGGGGAGGTAAACTAGGTGGAAGACTTATGGGTGAGTCTTTAAACGGACTAGGAGGAGGTGGACCGAGAGGAGGGTACAATGGAAGTTCTTGAGAGTGATGAGGAGAACCAGAATGCAAATTGAAGGGCGGTGGACCACGAGACTGGCCAGCATCTGGATGTGATTTTTGCGACGTGGATCCATAATTGAAAGGATTCAGCCAGCTCATAAACTGCGAGAAATATCCTGGCTCCGTTGAAGGGTTCACTACTCGTCCGGATCTCACCGGATGCTTCGGTCTTGGTGGAGGTGGAACCAAGTATTCGTTCAGGCCGACTCTTCGATTCCGATGAACGACTGGACCTCCACCATGAGAAGACTCGTCATTTTTTGAGCAGGTTGACGTTGCACTCACGAAAACAAGTAGCAGTAGTATCGATAAGATCTGGAAACATATCAAATAATTAAGAAAGACAAATAAAAGCAGTTATGAAAAAAATGAATATCGTTAATTTTATCTTTAAAATATTTCTTCTGGTTTTTCTTTCTTATTAAGGCACACATGTTTCTTTATTATAAGAAGCAGAAGAAATGCTTGGGATCTTGAAATTTGCTGAGACATTTAATACGTTTTAGTGGAGGTCAAGAATCGGAACCAATTTGAGGATTTCACAGCTGCGAAACCCATTAGATCAAGTAGTAATCGCGACGCGGAGGGGTCAGAAGTGAAAGGGGAACAAGTATGGCATAAAATCAAGCGCAGAGAGAAGAAGAAGAAGCCGCGTTAGAGACTTGCAATAGCGACTACATACATACACTTAAGTCTCCAGGAGTCGTTCTCACGGGCTAAAAATTCAATGGCATCTATTTTCCCGTGACGACCAACTCCACGCGCTATTTTACCGTGAAAATATGTGAACGCGCGAGAGAGAACGAGAGTATAAGAGATACAGTGTGAATCAAAAGTGAGTAAGCAATCTGTAAAAATGCTGTTCATCCTATAAATTCATGCAATGTCATTACGAGATCAAATATCAATCGGTGATAATCTTCTGAAGAAAATAATAAAATGAAAAATCATTTATCTGTGTGAATTAATCCGCGCATGATTATCTGAAATTTAACATAGTCCAAATAAAACGATTTTATTATCTTTGAAATCTGCCTCATTCGAATAACATGGAAATACCCAAATAAATTCGATGTTCAAAAGTTCATTCACTTTTGATTCTCGCTATATACGTAAGATTACGATTCGACTTGTCGTGGTTAAAGCGAGGGAACCGGAACCGCGCGAGGAAAGTGAACTAGCGGAAAAAGAAGAGAACGAGGGAAGAGGATGTCTCCCTCCTCTATCCTCTCTCATATCACTTTTAAACCTACTAACATCGAAGCCGCATAGCATCGCGTGTTACCTTTATACCTTTACGAGTACTGGATCAAGCGAAAGTAGCTAACGTTTTATACGTTTTACGTATCTGTCATAGAATTTATTTGTTCTTTCCAAGAGTAATACTACATTTATTAAATATTTTGTACAATATTATTTTACAAAAACGAAATCAGTGTCCTACATTTTAATATAAGCACAAAAGTGAGTAGAAAATAATATACGATTGATTATAAAAATCTTTCAAATTTACATACACAGAAGAATTAATCAAACTTAAAATATCGAATATTTAATTAGTCTCAGTGTCGGTTTTGAAAAAAGGATTCAAACAATTGGAGGAAATGGATAAACGATAAATTTCTATAAATTAATTAATATTTGTACATAAAGTTTCCCTTCGAGAGTAGATGGTTCACACAATGCGGTTGGTATGTAAGAGAGACACAGGATAAACTGAACTAAACTCGGCGGCAGCGTAGGCAGGTGGTGGCTAATGTAGGTAAGTGGGCTGTGGGTATTACGAGAGTCGACCTATAGTGGCGGTGAGAAGATGTAATACGCGGCCGCATCTGTAATCCGTGTGTAACTCGAACATTTTCACAGTGCGAAGAGAGCACGTGTGCCAGAACGAATATTGCACAGTTTATCCCATGAAAATTTCTATAAACGTGATTACATATTAAAATTATTAAAAGTAACTAATATTTCTAATACTATATATTTGTCAGTACTATGATCCTTATTATCCTTATCATGTATATCCTTTTTGAAAGACAAATAAAAGCAGTTATGAAAAAAATGAATATCGTTAATTTTATCTTTAAAATATTTCTTCTGGTTTTTCTTTCTTATTAAGGCACACATGTTTCTTTATTATAAGAAGCAGAAGAAATGCTTGGGATCTTGAAATTTGCTGAGACATTTAATACGTTTTAGTGGAGGTCAAGAATCGGAACCAATTTGAGGATTTCACAGCTGCGAAACCCATTAGATCAAGTAGTAATCGCGACGCGGAGGGGTCAGAAGTGAAAGGGGAACAAGTATGGCATAAAATCAAGCGCAGAGAGAAGAAGAAGAAGCCGCGTTAGAGACTTGCAATAGCGACTACATACATACACTTAAGTCTCCAGGAGTCGTTCTCACGGGCTAAAAATTCAATGGCATCTATTTTCCCGTGACGACCAACTCCACGCGCTATTTTACCGTGAAAATATGTGAACGCGCGAGAGAGAACGAGAGTATAAGAGATACAGTGTGAATCAAAAGTGAGTAAGCAATCTGTAAAAATGCTGTTCATCCTATAAATTCATGCAATGTCATTACGAGATCAAATATCAATCGGTGATAATCTTCTGAAGAAAATAATAAAATGAAAAATCATTTATCTGTGTGAATTAATCCGCGCATGATTATCTGAAATTTAACATAGTCCAAATAAAACGATTTTATTATCTTTGAAATCTGCCTCATTCGAATAACATGGAAATACCCAAATAAATTCGATGTTCAAAAGTTCATTCACTTTTGATTCTCGCTATATACGTAAGATTACGATTCGACTTGTGGTTAAAGCGAGGGAACCGGAACCGCGCGAGGAAAGTGAACTAGCGGAAAAAGAAGAGAACGAGGGAAGAGGATGTCTCCCTCCTCTATCCTCTCTCATATCACTTTTAAACCTACTAACATCGAAGCCGCATAGCATCGCGTGTTACCTTTATACCTTTACGAGTACTGGATCAAGCGAAAGTAGCTAACGTTTTATACGTTTTACGTATCTGTCATAGAATTTATTTGTTCTTTCCAAGAGTAATACTACATTTATTAAATATTTTGTACAATATTATTTTACAAAAACGAAATCAGTGTCCTACATTTTAATATAAGCACAAAAGTGAGTAGAAAATAATATACGATTGATTATAAAAATCTTTCAAATTTACATACACAGAAGAATTAATCAAACTTAAAATATCGAATATTTAATTAGTCTCAGTGTCGGTTTTGAAAAAAGGATTCAAACAATTGGAGGAAATGGATAAACGATAAATTTCTATAAATCAATTAATATTTGTACATAAAGTTTCCCTTCGAGAGTAGATGGTTCACACAATGCGGTTGGTATGTAAGAGAGACACAGGATAAACTGAACTAAACTCGGCGGCAGCGTAGGCAGGTGGTGGCTAATGTAGGTAAGTGGGCTGTGGGTATTACGAGAGTCGACCTATAGTGGCGGTGAGAAGATGTAATACGCGGCCGCATCTGTAATCCGTGTGTAACTCGAACATTTTCACAGTGCGAAGAGAGCACGTGTGCCAGAACGAATATTGCACAGTTTATCCCATGAAAATTTCTATAAACGTGATTACATATTAAAATTATTAAAAGTAACTAATATTTCTAATACTATATATTTGTCAGTACTATGATCCTTATTATCCTTATCATGTATATCCTTTTTCTATTCTGTATTCATTAATTTGTCATAAATTTTTCACCCATGCCCTTATCTATTTAAGGTGATTCATAGAATAATCTTCTTGTTGATAAATGAACTTTCGAATGGGAAGTGGAAGGTTTTGTGTAAGCTGGGAAAAGTTTGGTGAGAAGATAAGCGAAGCGAGGATCACGAGATCTTAGGGCCTTAGGTGGAAACAAGCTAACGGTTTTAACAAAGTAGCTCGAAAGCAGTAAAGACGATTAGAGGAAAATACGTGCTGTAATACTTTGATAATGAAAACTGATTATCAGATAATGCATAGTACCTGTATACAGGTACATGATATCATCAAGTATTAGATACTATTTTTAAACCAGAATGTGACGAAGCAAAATTAGGCAGTTCGTCATTTATGTAACCCTTTGGATACATACTTGCATATTAAAGAAATACATATAATTTAGCAATTCTTTCCAAATATGTGTATATACATGAAATGATGCATTGCTGGTACTTATACATGCGGTATCATTATGTGTCATTATGGAGCAATCTGTTTTTACTGTTAACCGGCCGATTGAAGCTGATTCCGCGCGAATCACGGTCCGGTAACAAATAAGGTCGTAAAGCTGTTCTAGCTCTGGGTAAAGGAATAATCGGTATTGACATTGCGATAAGATGAAGAAGAGGCTATAGAGAAGTATGTACGCGCAAACGGAAAGCGACAGATTTAGGTCGTATATGTATGTATGTAAGACTCGGAAGAGTTTCGAGAGCTCCTCCGTACTATATGCTATAGTGGTGTGGGCACTGTGCCAAACGAACAGGATCATTCGAAAGCGTCTGTTTTCTTCGCATCATTCACTATAGATACGTGCATACGTCCTTGTCGGATCATTGACGATTCCCGGTGTACACGAATCGGTGGTTGACTGACTTTCGACAGCTTTTGCCGCGCGGCTTAATTTCTCAAGTTTCATTTGGAACCTCGCCAAGAATATCTATCTCTAATGCTCAGGTGAGATAATTAAGAAATCATTTAATTTCGAATGTCTCGATGATCGTGAATACTTTTGAATTAAAAATAAATTATGTGCAACTTTGCATCGTGTCGTTTCCTAAATTTTGTAAGGTGAGATTTAAGCACTCTAGGTGGGAGATTTAAATGGAGTGGCTCCATTCGAATCGATCTATGAACCATCGTAGATATGCACCTATCGTTCAATTCTAAATAGCTTCCCGCAGCTCACGCAATCGTAAGTGTACGATTTCTCGAAAAAACAGTTAAATTTTCAGTCATGTCTCCGAATCGTTTGCGTTACTCGACTTCGAATTGGTGATTTTCAACTTTCGCCTGCTGCGCTTCGCATGATAATAAATCCCTTATATACCAGGAATGCAACTTTTTATTTTTCAATGTGTGCTTCGACTTTTATTATATTTAAAGAATTCCATCAAATATAGACTGTACTACATCGTCTCGTAAAATTGTTATCTAATCGATCTTTCAAAATTAATTTATTTCATTACTTCTAATTGCCTTACGATTATAAAAATTACGATAAAAATGAAATAACATGTCTTTACTTGTATGTACATTTTAATTTTTATTATCTATCATTTTATTACTATATTTCTTAAAAAGTAATAAATGTGAGCATGTGGATAATACATGCAATAGGTGTTATATATTAATTTATAAATATATGACATTGTTCTGTGCGGAATCTTTAATTTGTGTCAACACGTTCCGTAGCCACTCCAGGCATATTATGTATACAAATTTGTTCAAAAATAGTGATTTGTCTTCGTCGGAATACAAACGCGCGTAGCTTTCGCCTCGTAAGATCTATGGTTAAAAAGTCGAACATATCCACTCTCACAAAGTACATACATACAATACGAAAATCAATGAAAATACAGTACATGCATATGTATGGAGTTTCTAACGATTAATTCCTAACTATACGTGTGTAACAATGCGATTATTATACCGCGATTTTTTGTCTACAATTTCATGATCGATGCAAGCTAAATTCAGATTAGCTTCACTTTTTATGTATTTTGGCTTTGAAAATTTTACATGGTATGCTATTTTTGATAAGTTCATCAAAGTCTATTAGTAAATGATATAAAATAATAAAAATATTGTATAGAATCTGTTTATAGAAATATTTTTTTAATGAAGAATTAATAAAGATTGAATTACTAAAGATAAATGTATTGCTTATCATTTTATGTATTCGATTAACTTGAAAATTATATGAATATATGATACATAGAATGTACCATGTATAATATAAAGAAGAATGTTTGTTTTCACTTCGTGTCAAATTTGATAAATTTATATATTTGATAAAAAGAATTATCTACCCGATGTACATAAATGAACTTTTGCACTGATTAAATCGTGCGATCAATCAGTAATTCAATTAGTGCAATAAATAACGTATTATAAATTTGCAAACATGTACTCACTCGAAGAACGTTCATATTTCCTCTTCACATTAATTTCGTCTTCATTTACTTTTCCTTGGAAACGTGTCACAGAAACCGGGTTAATACGACAGAATCACACTTCTTCGGTAATTATTTCTTTCACGAACAGAAAGAAATAACTTGAGAAATAGTCACGTAACTACCGTCCAGTGGATAAAAAGGAAGAGTATTAGAAAATTTTCAGCAGATTTTCATGTTTCCCGGTACACGATGTAACTTGAACCGAACCGAACCGAACTGAACTGAAGTCGCTTCCTCTTCGCCGGTGAAATGGTGAAGAAACGAAGGTTGAGGAACAAGGACGCCGTCGGCAGAGGTGGTAGGAAGCCGGGAGGATGAAGAGAAGAAAGGTGCACCGGCGCAAGGTCAAAGAGAGAGTCCATTGGAGCGCTTCTTCGATACGACACGCTTTATATACCGTTTCCACCTTCTTTCCTCCCTTCCTTTCTCTTTCTCTCTTCCTCCGTGTTTTTCAACTACATCTCCTTCGTCTTTTCTCTCTAAATAATGATCTAACAATCTCTCCTGCCACAGGATACATAATAGTTCTGTGTCCATCCCCATTTATTTATTTATTTATTTATAGGGGGAGGAATTATAGAGCTTTTATTTGTTGTACACAAGGGTCATTCAATATCCTGAATTTTCCATTAAAAATACAATATTGTTTCAAGATTTTGAGGGAGAGTGTACACATATACCTGAAAAAAATATTTTTACCTGCGCACCACCTGCTGAGGGCTGATAAATTATACCAGACCCCAGTGGTTAAATCCTAATTCAATATAATTGCTGAAAAGAAACCCATTTTACAAAAACAGCAGGGTAGCAACCCTTCACGCTTTTTCAATGATACAATGACCAGTCAGAAATCTAGGGATGAAGTAATATATCTTCTTTGTGACGTCTTAGAGGTAGTAAAAGGAATGAACGTTATTAGAGACCCATTCGAACAGATCCTTCGTATTATTTTAAAAAACAGGCAACATTTAAAATACTTAAATAAATGCATAGGTAATTGTCAAATTTTTTTTTTAAATAAAACTGCAAATTATTCATATAAAAAATGTATATATTTTTAACATAATACAATCTTTCGTATAATACAGTATTTTATGTCTTAGTTATTACAATATATTACACTATTTATATATTTATAGTAATTACAAAATACTTATTCAAAAATCTCTTGTAGAGAGACAGGTTTTCTTCGTGTCTCGTTACTTTTTGCTTTCAAACGAACGAGATCTACGTTTCATAATTAACAATGGCCTTTGATTTTAATATTTGCATTATTTATAAAATGAAGTCTTTAGATAACAATTTTATTTTTGTTCCGTTTCGTTCCGCAATTTCTTTCTCCGTACAATTACCATTTCAATAAGCCACATTGTTACTGTTAACGCCGTTACGCAATTCATAGCGATTATGCAAGGTCCGTAACTTCCGAAGTGATCGCGCATCAGACCTGAAAACGATAATATGCATCATCCATTAACTGATTAATCAACACCCTTTAAATACGTTCATTTGGAATAAATCGATACATGATTGAAAAAAGTAATGAATAAAAGATCGAATTGACGAATAATTAAATAATTGTACATACCCAATAAAGGACCAGCTGATAACAGCATTACGCCGTTCACTATCATTTGGATTCCTGAAGCGTTGGGCAATCTGTGAATCGGAACGTATGATGGTATCACCAGTGTCATGTATACCGAGCGAATCCCTTTGGCAATTCCCAATCCAACAGCCACTATACACATCGATACGAAATCGTTGACGAATAGTACACCTGTATTTAAATTAAATAAATTCGTATTATACAAATATTTGTATATCTCCATAAATTTTACTGAAACATTTTTCTATCATATTTTATACTTTATTCTTATTTTCATCAAAACACATTCTTGTAATTCTATAACTCAAATTATGAAACGTCACCGAATTAAAATAATACGTACACATTCTACTGACGATTAACAGGCACAAGCTCGAAAGGTACATTATCCTCGGTGTCTGATGGAGCCAATCGCCAATGAAAGACGCGAGGCTTCGAAAAATTAAATCCGCGATACCTAGAATACTCAGCACGGTAGCAATCTGTTTAGTAGACAAGTGCATGTCCATCAAGATGAACGGCGTCAACTGGGAGAAATTGATCTCAGCGAAAATTGCCACGGACATTCCCAACATTATGTTTACATAGATCGGATCACGCAGTAAGTCGAGATCGAATAAATCCACTATCGTTTTTAGTATCCGTTTTATCGCCGACGGTTCTTCAGCTCTGGAAATCAATTGAAACCTCTTACCTTATATCTACATAGGTATATTTGTATATTAAATGCACATACTCCTCGTCGGTGTCGGTATTTATACTAGACACAGATTTCGTATCTTTTGTGTCTTTTAGTGACAACGTCTCATTTTCTATCGTAGTTTGATTATCTTCGTATTCCTTGTTCTTTTCAATTCCATTTTTGTTGTATTTGGACAATGGCTCCTCTTCGAAAATCTTCATACTACTTCCAAGATTAATTGTATCGACGCTCTTGACTGAAATAAGAAAACAGTGATTTGCAATCTTTAACACTAGAAAGACTGAAACTTAGTATATACCTATATTGCCCAAAGCAGTCAAAATGACTGCATTGTAAAAGAATAATGTGTAAAGAAATTTGTCTAAAATTAATTTTTAATATTTTTTAT